AGATAGATAGATAGATAGATAGATAGATAGATAGATAGATAGATAGATAGGTAGGTAGATAGATAGATAGATAGATAGATCTCTGCATAAGAACAAACTTTTAATCTACTGACCAGCTGCACCACCAAGTTGACGTCTTGAAAATATTATCCCCAAATCTGCTTTTTGATTTATTGGCCTTGACTTGCCATTAGCCTATCATCAGAACTTGTGTCATTCATCAAATCAGTAGCTCCAAACCAACTGGCTCCTTTTAAATATGTCATTTTATTTTAAATGTCACAAATTTAGCATATTTTTTAAAGGCAAAGTCATTTCCTAACAAACTTTAAAGTTTAATAAATAGTGCATGTGTTGGGAACTATTTTCAGTAGTGGATCAATACAGCTTCACCAGGAAATAGGTCTTCCAAATTCAATTTATTTATTAGGAGGAACACCTGAGATGTACCATCATTCATTTTTGAGGGGTCCTAATAACAATTCATTATATTGTGTCTCTGTGCACAGTTTAATACTAATTGGACAGTGTGTTGTTATAGTATCAGAAATAAAAGAACATAGTTTCCCCCCACTTACAGCAGCTCTGTTTACAATGCAAGCATCACATCTGAACTGCTGATGATGATGATGTTGATGCATGAAACTATAACAAAATACCAGGATGACCTCACAGTGCGTTGGACTGAACGTCTCTCGGTTGTTGATGGAAATGCATGGAAGCAGTGCCCCCATGTGGTCGTGGCGAAGACATGCTTTTATGACAATGCTTTTGCGTAGCACTGAATGACCACAAATCTGCCTCTCAGGCTCATCTTTCACCTGTGCACCATTTCCCACAGGCTCCACCAGTCACAGAGTTGTGTTTTTGTTAAAGGTGCTCAGAGTCAGGGTCACGTTCTGCTCACAAGATTTATTTGCAGCCACAGAGAAACGTTTTGCCTGAGAGGCTCAGAGGAGGGCGAGAAAAAGTTTCCTCCACTAAAGAACCTGTTCTGCCGGAATCCTTCCTTCACCCAGGCCGGCTCTCTCAGGGTGTGTCTTTAAAGTCAAATACATTCAGCACTGCAGCCCTCAGGAGGATCCACTCCTCTGTACAGACACACACCATTTTCAAACTAAATCATTCAGGGTTTCTTTTTGTTCAGGCCCCAAACCAAATGAATTGGACATGAAAAGCCATTTGAAAGGTCAGAAGTAAATGCTGAAGATGTATTTGACATAATGTGCTGAGTTGTGATCATCATGCAAAGACCTGGATGTTTAATTATACATCATAGAATAAAATCTTAAGGAGAAAAATATGCAGGGGTTTTCACACACACACTCACACACACAGCACATCTATGTGCAGCACTTCCTCTGTCCCACATTGCTCACACACTGTGAGCACAGTCATCAGGGGTGATTTGGGGCTCAGTGTCTTGCTTGCATCACTTCAGCACTGGGGGAGACTTGGGTCGGTCTTCTAGTTGACGACTGACCAGCTCTACCTCTTGAGCAACAGCCGGACAAAATGAAAATGAAATGCTGAATTGTTCTCTTGTATTTCCTTGAGGCAACAGGTTAGTTTCATTCAGGAAAACTGCAGGCTTTGTTCAAATAGAAAAAGGATATTCTTCTGATGGATCAAAACACACGCACGCGCACACACACACACAACGGGAGAGATAAATGTAACAGAATGTAAAAGCTGAAGGAGTAGAGTCAATATAACATTTGATTTTACAGATGACTATGCAGATATTTATTACTTGTTTTTTCTGTTTCTTTTAATATACGAGCAGGCTTGCACGTTTAAGATGTTAATATGTTCATTCATTATTGCAAATGTTTACTTATTTGAGTTTTTTTTACTGCATATGCCTCAGAGTCATTTACACCAGATTTCTATTAGTCTTTAAAAAGACAAATAGGTACACACTGGAGTCAGTGTTCTGTAAATGACAGGGTCACAATCAAGTCTGTCTTGAAACTTGATTAAACCAAGTCCTGCCTGGTGTAATCATTTCTCCCTTTAAAAGAAAAACTCAAATCCTAAAGCCTTTCCAAGGTAATGACAAGGGACCAAATCCACAACTCTATGGGGCCTAAATGTTCAGACACAAGTATTATAGTTAGTAACTGTACAACCCACTTTTCAATGCCTTTGATTTATAAATAGCAGTCACGCATTAATTACTGTCCTTGGGAACCCATTTATTTTACATGTATGTAGGACATGTCATGCTTTAATACAAAAATATCCCAAATACTGTACATTGCTTCTGAACATGTGCAAAATGTAAAAAACAACATATTTACAACTCCAGTTAACAAAGAGAAAAGAGAACGGCTGAATTCTCACAACATCTAAACAGTCCTTGTGATAGATGGAGTCCTAACTCTTCAATCAACCTCCAATTTATATGAGATACACACAAATACAAACACAGTAAACAAAAAGGTTCTGACAGTTTGTGCTGAGAGGAACTTTACATGAAAATGTATAAAATATGTGTCAGGCTAGAACCACACACATTGTTTTCAGTTGAGTACTTACCAGATTGAAATTTGACATTAAAGTTTGCATTGTGCAGCAGAACTGATCCAAAAAGTGTTCACCTTGTGCCTTGTCCTCATGGTTTAATAAAACAACACTAGAGAAGAAATAAAGTGTTTCCAGTTTTCGTCCAAAGAGAAGTGCACTGCTCTCAAACATACATACATGGACCTTTCATAACCAAACTCCTCACTGACACAAGGCTCTGATCCACATTCCTCTCCTCTGTCAGTCCAGCAGCAACTCGTCATCTTCTGTTTTTAATTACAAAGTCTTTCACTTTTCTCATTTAATCTGGAGGAGCTTCATCTTGTTTCCTAAAAAGAAAAAAACAAACAAATAAATTAGCTGCTGAAAATGAACTCTTTTTAAAGAGGAACATCTGATGATGGAGCAACACTCACCCAGCCCTTTAAGAAATTTGTTCACGCCGCTCGGCTCCGGCTCAGGGTATGAATCCAGATACTCGGCCACTCTGACTTCAAACAGACCTGAGACGCAGAGGGAGATGTTCAGTCATCAGGATGAAATGTAGAAATCTGACACACTACAATGTGGAAAGATCAGACTTCCATCACTCCAAGTTTGGCATGATATATATAAAAAGATGACTTTCACTGTTCTTCACTAACATCACACTACCCCAGGCTGAAAATCAAGATAGACACTGACCCTCTGTGAGACCATGAGCTGCACCTTTAATAGTTTTTTAATGATTTGACTCTTGTGACCACTTGCACTGCGACATCACTGTTACCTCTTGCTCCTCCCTTGCGCAGCTCTTTGTCCTGAATGAAGCCAGCGAACATCTGCGTGTCCATGAAGAGCTGCAGGAACTGGCGGACTCCGCGGGAGGGGTGAGATTTGCGGAAACTGTCGCGCTGAAGCTCCCTGCTGCCATTGGAGGACTCGACCATGTGGAACGGATAGTGGCCCACCAGCTCCACGAAGAAGCGCACAAAGCCCTCAGACACCAGGGAGCTCAAGTCGTCTGGCTGACCTGGATGGATACATGAAGAGAAAAGGCTTAATAACACAGTCGGTTAGTAACACATCTATCACTTGAATAAAATACTACAAGAGACTCAGAGAGAGTCATGTCACATACTTTAGTTAGTTTTGTTTTGACAGAACTTCTTTATTTTGCAAATCATCTTTAACAACATGAGTAGGTCTTCAGTGAACCAGGGTTTCTGCAGGTTTCAACAAGTTAAACCCTTTGAGACTTTTATGAAATGTAAGATTTATGTCAAGTATAACAGATATGAAGGAATGTCAGAGTCCCAGAGTTACACACTTCACCATATCTTACAAACCACAGGCAGAGACAGCAGGCAGCCATAGTCTTTCTCACAGCCACGCTGATTGTACTGACATCGAGTCTGACCAGGATTTTTCATAATTATCATGTCCATGTTGGTTTCGTCTGTAGTTTCATTACAGCGTGCTAATATCTGCTTCGCTAAGAAAAAACTACATTGAGACGTAACAAGTAATGCATGCTACCCTCAAGATTTCCCTTTAATAAATATGTAATTTTAAGCATGACGGTAGCAGCGTTAAACGAACATATGATAAGACACAAATGAGGAAGAACTATGTGTGTAAAATTTGAGGAAACAGTCCTTTTGTAGCATTTACATGTTTCTCAAGAGTCTATGATGCATAACAAAATTTTGAATTTTTGAGTTTCTCAGGCCTGAAATTATTCTGTAATTATTCCATTGTAGACTTAAAAATAAATACGTTTTAAGAGCCCACGGAAATAATGATGAACATCTGAATAGGTTCAACTCTCCAGTTAAAAAGAACAGTATTGCCACTGGTATTTACAGAGATTTAGTGAACTGAACTAAAATAGAAGAGCACAATGGGTCTGTGATGAAAAAGAGGATCTACAAATATTCTTTAACTCTGTAGACAAGAAAAAAAGGAACTACATGAGACTGTTCCAGGCTTTATAATCAGCTAGTCAAACACCTGACTGACATACAGAACTTTGCTGTTGACACATGTGATGTCTGTTATACCAACCTCCAAATCTGTCTCCGTCGTCCTGACTCAGGATATCTGCCCTCTCCTCCAGGATCTGCTGCAGCGCTGCCTGCAGTTTACTGGGCAGGATGCAGTCTTCATCATCCAGCTGTCAACACACACAACACAGCAAAGGTCAACGGCAGTCATGTGCTGTCATTTACAACCAGACTGTACATCTCATCTGTTTAACCCAGTGACAGACACATGCTTCTCTTTGAGTGGGAGTTGTTGCTGTACCAGTGAGCTTGAAGAGAAAAACCTAAGATGCATCTGACCTTTTGTTCCAGTTTGGCCAGTCGTGTTCTGATGAATCATTTAATTGCAACGCACAAAGATGGATCTGGCGCACAAAAAAGAAAGTTCTAGGGCAGGGCAGAAATAGGTGAATGAGCAAGCCAGGAGGCGAAAAATACATTCGCTTCCTGTAGTGCAGCAAATCTTTAGGCTGGCTTTGCATGGATTTAAGCTTTGGTGAACTTTGGCCCTAGATATTCATTCCACATTTTCATGTGTGACCTGGGCACAATGCAACAAAGCATTAAAGGTAAGTATTGTATGTATGTGGAGGACTATGTATTTCAAATCTAATGTGCTGATCTACAGAAACAAGGGCTGGGCATTGTGGCCAGAAATTTTATTAAGATAAAAATGTTCACATCACTTTCACTACAGCATTTCCCACAGAATTCAATCAATCTACAGCAGTAGCAGGGGTGCACATGCACAAACGTCTAACACACAACAGGTCTGAGTGAAAGAATAAAGCGTGAAATTCAAGTTCTCGCATAAGAGAGAGAACCCACCCAACTCAGAGAGATGCCACATGGACAAAAGCATGAGTGAGCACACAGCAAACAGTGCCGCACACAGCTACACAATGCAGTAACGGAGCAAAACTACAGGTTACAAATCTTTTACTTTACTAAGGAGAAGTGTGAACTGTTTTTTGGTTCATTATAAATTAGAATATGGTGGATCACCACAGTCTACATTGTTAATGGGAAACACAGGTTTGACATGGTGAGAGTTAAGTTTTGACTGATTTTTGTTCCTAAGTGAAGGTTGTGGTTTTAAACTCTTTTAAATTCTTAATGAGTAGAGAATGACAAACACTTGATACTTTTACAAAATCTAAAGTCGATTCATTTTGTGTTACACCTCCTGTATTTGTTGGACTTTTGTTATATTTCTATTGATTATCATATCGCGATAGTTACTGATATAGTTTTATTGTCCAGTCCAACAGTTATCTGTCATCTCAGAAAGTTAAGATCATTAAGCCTGAACAATGATGTACTTAATGTTTCAAGATGAGGAGGGAAGCTACCAGCAACACTGAAAACGTGTCACAGATCATATTGGTGTGACAATGCTTGTTTCTAATAAAGACAAAGAAGAAGTTCACTAAATGAAATGATAAAAATAACAACACAAAAATAACACCTAAAGTTCAAACAATGTTGAACCATAAAGTGAAGAGTTATTATTATAGCTCTAAATCAGCCACAAAGTAACCCAGTGTGTGAGTTTCATGAGATGATCGACTCTGGACTTATATCTTGTATATTTTCATCATTTCCATCCATTGTGCAGGTTCAATCATTTTGTGTCTGTCATCTTCAAAACACGCTGGATTCAAACAAGTACAGGCAAAGCCAGGTTTCCGCTGGGGCCACACCTACCGTACCCATTCTACACTGCTATGTGTACACACCTGAATGACAAACTTGTCTGCACACAGATCCACTATGAGCACCTGGGGAGCGAGAAGAGAGAATGACAGTTAGTGACTGAGCTGACTTCACTATTTCATAATCACAGGTATGAAATGTTGAACCAAAGCCTATTAACAATTTGTCTGCAAAACATCTGCTGCTCTAAGACATGCACTGAACTCCAGATAATCTCCTGACTTTCTCCAGAGGAGCTGTCTCTGAGAACACAGATTTCCAATTGACAAGATCTGAGCGGTGCTGTAAACAAAACACGTCATCTCCACAGCAGAATGAATACGCTGGCTCGTGCCTCTGCCTGCTGCGCCACCCCTCACCTGAATACTCAAGAGTTGTGTTGTTGTGAACACGTCTAATTGGAGAATCTCCTGCTGCATTCTTCATTAATAGAAGGCAAACTCCAGATAAAGTCTGGGCCCAATGGTGCGGACATTCTCCGGAGTTCATAGTCACACATGTTAGTCACACACAGTAGACAATGTGCCATTGTGGAGGTCCTACTGCTTGTGCATTCATTCACTATATACAGTCAAAAAGTGACACTACAAACACTATATACATATTTAATATAAACAGCACATTTTAAAATATTTTAAAACCAACCTCCTCAATAGGAAGCTCCAGGAGCTGTGGCAGGCAGGGTGCCAGCACCCCGATGAGGAATGGGGTTGGGGAGCAGCTGATGTCCAACATACTGGCTGGTAACACAGGCACAAACGTGTGCTGCCACGTGAACGGGTACAACAGGGCCAGCACCGCGTGGCCACACCGGGACAGAACACTGCAGTGAAGCGGAGAGATCAGTTCTCACACTGATGAACATATGATATCAATCATAGCTCCCTTAAAACATGTGTCACACCACTTCAAACACATTTTCAACTGTAGGAGCATTCAGCAAACAGAAGTAGGGTGTAAAAGAAATCTCCCAAAACACAACTGATCTCTGCTAGCACTCTATTACGACACACTGTGAATGGTCAAGTTCTAGTCCTTCATCATTGTATCTAAAGGTTGGGTGTACTCAGTTGTTATTATCCTCTGCTCTAAATCCACGTTTGTCTTCTGATTTTAAACCAATTTCTCATTTGTATTTCCTCTCCAAAGTCCTATAATATTGAATATCCAATCAGCTCCTAGATGATTATATTTGTAATAATGATTTTGATCTCTTTTAATCTGTTTTAGATTATATTGTAGAAGAACCTGTTTTACCAAGCTGCTGACTCCATCGCAACATTTTAATTTGTAATGTAGAGACAGTGTTTAACATCAATGATCATAATATTTTATTTGCCATCAATAACCTAACAATGTAATTGCTGTGGAACCCAATGGAAAATCAGGTCCCAGTTGTAATAACAGTAATAATTATAATACTAACTGACAGGTTTTATCATTAAAGTGACTCTTTTGACCCGGTGTCAGATAAACTGAGCTCTAGTTTTTATCTTAAAACTTTCTTGGCTTTCTGCTAATTGGTTCTGGTTGAATATTGTGTTGGTGCAAAGTCGGTCAATTGTGACGCCGCTATTTTGTGTGTGTGGTTTTATTATTTTATTTTTAATTGTGTTATCTTGTGTCTACTAATAATGTAAAATAAATTGTTGTGTCCCTGTCAAGCCCGCTGAGACACTGTAAGTGATACTGGGTTGTTTAAATAAACCTGACTTGCTGTTGGGACTCAGCCACAACTGAAGCAGCCCACTGAGGCCAAAGTACACAGAGATAATTAAAACTGGCCCTGGGCCTGTGGGATATCAGCAAGTATCGACTACAGCTGGCATATGGTGTCTTTTTTAATTGCCTTCCTTAATATAATCCTTTTAAATAGTGGTGGGTAAGTGGCCCTGAAGTGTTGAGTGTGTGATTTAATCACAGCAGTACCTGAGTTTGTCAGCGATGAAGATGACTCTCCTCTCGAGCAGCAAGGAGGCAAACACCTGCAGGAGCTTCCCCACACTGAGACACTGCAGCAGACTGTCAAAGTCCACGTGCTCTAATCTGGAGTCCACTGGCCGACACAGAGTGAGCACCTGGCAAAGCAAAGAGAGCATGTAGACTGAAACTGTACAGTGTTGATACGTGGTTAGAGTGGTCGCCATTTACACTGGTTTCCTCATGCGTCAACTCCAGGAAACCTGCATTTTGAGCAAAACCAGATTTTCAGATACACCCATATAAGAAGACTCTCGGCTGGTTCAGGGTGGGATTTAGAAACGTAAGCTAAGGCTTTCATTTTAAGAGACACAAGAAAATAGGTATTTCACAAAACGTAATTTGAGTCTGTAAACAGGAATGACTACAAAGATTATTGTTAACTGTTGTAAACATATAACTGTCCTGACATGAACCCTTCAAAGCTGAAATAGCTATCCCCATTGTTTACACAGATAACCTCCCATTCTGAGTCACTCTGAGTCTGCAGAGAGGAGTGGTTAGAGTGAAAAAAACTACCAATTAACATTTCCTCTTTTGGTTTCAGGGTTACCTCATTCCCAGAACCAGGGAGGAAGCTTTTGACGGTGACTGTGCGTCCGGGGGCTGGAAACGGGGCTTCCATCACGCTACGCATAAAGGGATAAACCAGCGCTGGGGAAATCTCCCTGCGCCTTTCCACCTCCTCCAGAATCTGTGCAGACAGAGCCAAATCACTGCGTGTCCTGAAGGAACTAGTGTTGATTAAAGTCTGAACAATAGAGCAGAGGAGGCAAAATGCAGCTCTGCATGTAAAAGCAGTTTTCCTCCTGGACATATTCACACTGACTGTGTGTACATTTCGCTCAGCCAACTGTGAAATGGGTGGGACACTGCTGCATGCATACAACTTCTTTTTTTAAAAACACAACCAGTGATTGTTCAGGATTCCGTCCCAGTAGATAAAAGGAGTTAGGAAGAAACAGTTTCACACACTTGCAACGGGTGAGGGGATCGAACTTTTCCGGATCCATCTCATCTCCCTGTCAATGGCAGGAGAGAGAGAGCAGACAAGCTATATGGTCACTTTACCTTTGCAAAAAGGTTGAAACAGCCCAGCTTGCTGACAATACAGTGCACTTCAGGAAGCCTCTTCCCCTTTCCACTGGGCTGGAAGACACATAGAATTTAATGTCATTAAGCATGAAACAACACATATTCTGCATCTAGATATATGACACCATTAAATACAAATATAAACATATCGATCATTTCCTTTTTTAGTATTTTCATTGACACTGCAGCTATAGTCTAAAAGTCAGTCCATGTTTATGACAGCAGCATTGAGCTTATTTCCAAAAAAAGAAGACCATAAAACTCTGCTGAATATGTTGTGTTTGTCTTTCTAGGATGAAGAAATATACACAAACAGTGTAGAAGAGAAATGCCTCATGATTTCTACCTAAAAGGTATGTTTTGAAAAAAGATGTAAAAGCCCCTCTCTCTCTCTTTGTGCAGGAAAAAGGTTGAAATGATGAAATTCTTCTTGTTCTCTGTCATTGATTCAGAAGTGGTATGGCCTGTGATTCACATTTCCACAGAGATGTTGAGTAAGCATGTGGCAGGCTGCCATGTCTCACACACACACACACACACACACACACACACACACACACACACACACACACAC